AGAAGCCTGTAGAGTTTTTGACAACGTGTCAACAAGCCCATTATAACATGATAAGATGTGCAAACATCAACCTTCTGGGATTGACATGTCAAAACAGAGAGAAGGAGTAGAAATGAGAATATGCGAACGACACCTTACAAGGTGTTACCACACCAACACACATAATAGGAACTGAGAGATTAGAGGGGGGAGGAAGAGGGAGGATTCCAATATGAAGAGATGATCACATGGCTTACAGATGGTCAGACACAACGATGTTTATAATTAGTGAGCAATTGCAAGCAGTAGAGAATGAATTACAACGAAAGCGATTAAATGAACTTGAAAGTACTCTTATCCTAATCTTATTCTGATAAACGAGATATTATTGAATAGATTGATGAAGAGCAGTTGAAAGATGATTTTTGATATTCTTATATGAAGGATTCAGAAGGTTAAAAACATTCACCAAATATCTTTAATGATAAGCATTGAGAAATGTTTGTGAGACTTTCTGCTTTCAGAAATATTTTGAAGAGAAAGCCAAGACAGAGAGAGAGAGGGAGTGTAGGAGGAAGAGGGAGGGAGAAAGGAGGCGGAGTAAACAGTCCATATGAAGAAAAGTGATGTAATAAACATCTGAACGTTTACCATTCATTTGAAATTTCAAAAAATAACCACTTCATCTCATATTCATGACAATTTAAGGCAAAAAAAATCTATGAACGCCTACAGAGTCTTTCCATACTGCTTATTCTCCTTATGAAGCTAAATTGATGAAAGCAGAAAATAAAATTCAGAAGAGGGAGGAAGGATTGCTTTGCGAAAACCAACCATAAATGATAAATTGCTGTCTTCTAAATGCTCTTTTACCATCTGGATCCCGTGGGGTTGGTGGCGACTCTTTCGTGCTTCGTTCCGTCTGCAGCATGATTCAGATGGTGGTGACGGCTTTCTCGCCAAAAACATTTCCACCCCCACATTACCAAAGTTGGATGACGGGTATGAGATCAGATTTCGAAATTATGTTCATATGTTTTAGCTGAGCATGCATCGAAATGATAGAATATGTGGGAATGCTGCTGATTCCAATGTAGATAACAGAGAAATGAATGATTGAACGAAAGCTCCAGGTGATCTGAGCTCAAAAGAAACTAAAAAAGATATTCAGACACAACGTGAGGAGGAGAGAGTGGAAAAGAAAACTAGAAAAGCTCATTTAGGGCAAGAAGATGCAAATAAGTCGTTCTTGCTCCGGGTTCAAATGTCTGTTCCTTGTCCAAAAGAGGAAAATGAATTAGCGGAAAGCAAAAAATACAAATAGTCTATAGAAAGCGAAGGATTAGACCTCAACCTAATACGAATAATAAAAGAGAACAACCAGTCAATGCGTCTTCAAAGTATAAAAGTAGTTTCTCTCACGTGGGCTTGTCACGTCACGGAACACGTGGAATTTTAATAGCGCGGATAAACGCCATCAGATAGCTTGAGCATGAAAAAGTTATGAAGCTCATTGACAACGTTAATTGAAAGTTCATGGTAGAGTTGGTAGGGTGTGCGAGAGCAGATCTTATGTATCCCTTATCGCAACTGCTGATTTGTATAAAGGAAGCTGAGAAAAGAATGACAGCTTCATTCGAAAGAAGATGAATGAAAATTCTGACTTCGAAGAAGAGGTGGCAGCCATTCTCGCAGTCTGCAGATTAGAATCTCAATCCTCCAACAATTGATTCGATAAAAAAAAAGAAAAAAATATTTTAAAATTAAAAACACGCAGATTCTAATTATTCTCAGACCAAGAGCGTTCGATGGGAAAATCGTCGAAACATTAATATTCTCTAATGGTTGAGCGAAAAGAATGTGTGAAACTTCAAATGGATATATCCGGAAAAACCTTTAAGGAAAGCAGACAGAAAATACTTGGAGTAGAAACAGGTGTGTGAGGAGGGTCGAAGATTGCGCCAATTGTGGAGAAGGAGGGACGTACGAGGAAGGAGGGGGGGGAATGAATTTGCATGAGAGGTTTCTTTTAAGATGGAAACTACAAACAACTGCTTCATTTGAATCAATTCAGCTCTCTCTAACATATCAAGATTTGCTCAAGATTTGCTAACTAATCTGATTTCATCGAAATTCAACAATTCCTACACACGGACTCCCTCTCATTCGCTCTAATTAATTTATGAACAAAAAAGAGTTGTTGAAGCTGAAAAACGAAAATTTCTTCTTTTGAGATATATGTTATGTTCGTTAATTTTTAGTGACAAATCGAAAATTACAACATCTGAATATCACCAAAGATTCTCTTCTATCTCCTTCGTTCTCTCTCTCTCTCTATCTCATGCGCGCCTTTCCTCTCACTTTTCTCTTCATTTCTCTTACTCTCTCTGTTCTCACGCCAACTCCAAACCTTCATCTCTTTATATATCACCTCGTGCAAATGAAATGCAAGATGAAATGAATCTTCAACCTTTTTCCTCAAGATCACACACATTGCCTGAGGGCTAATCTTTCTCTGAACTTCCTCTCCAACAGCACACACACATGCTGGCCCTTTCCTCGTTTATCATTATTCTTACATAATACTTTGACACTTTTTACAATCTTCGAAAAGCTTTCGGGTTGACCCAATATGAGGGAGAGGAAACCACATCAGTCAAGGAAAGTCCTACAAGAAAAACATAAATGTTATCAACATCCCGAACAGCTTGTCTCTCTCACTCTCAGCCTTCAGCACAGCATTCTAAGAAATAGAGAATTACGTTGAAAGATTTGGAATACAAATATACAGGGGGAAGCAGATGCAAGAAGAGAGAGAGAAGAAGGAGCAAAAAAAACATTCTAAATAATAAAATAAAAGTTCTAAGAAGATTTCCTCGAAAGGAATGACAGCAGAGGAATCGGCCTGGAAAATTGATTCAGACGTTTTTAGATGGATGCTCTGTAGATGGTGAACATAGCCAGTAAACATAATGGAGGACATAAGCAAAATAAGTTCAGGGTTTTCACTCTTCTTCTCCATATTTGTATTTTGAAGAGGAAAGTGTTGAACAATCAGATATCTGTGTGTGAAGAATGGAAACCTTAAAGAGTTCAGCATCATCTTGTTTAGAACATGCACCAATGCTGGAGACATCTTGAAATGGAAGAGGAAAGTTAGAATGGGAAATTAAGAAGAAACAAAAACGGAAACGAAAACAGATAACCAGAGATCAAGTAAAACGAGCTGACAAACTATTACTCAAACCCGTACTACTGCAGCAGGAGAAGCAATAGACACACTCGAGCAGTAGCATTCAGTTATTGTTCCTATTAAGGACAATAAATTTTGGAAGCAAACTTGCAATCTGTACATGTCACATCATATGTTTTAGAAAAGCTTTCTCTCCTCTCCCTCCAAAAAACTAATATATAATTCAAATACTGAGATAATTGATGTGTTGTTTGAAATGATCTAGAAAAAGTGTTTTATCTGACGTCAATGGCTCTTTCAAGAAATTAAAACACTAAGTTATGAGAAATCTGGCTCTCAAGCCCCACGAAGCTTCAGAATAAAACATGAAGTAGATATTGGAAGATGACTAATATCAAACTAGAACAAACAGAATAGATTTTGAGATATTCATATTCAATAGATTTACTTCCCTCCTACGTTCCCATCTCAACCAAACAGCAAACTGATAACCCACCAAAATAATTTTTTTTAATTACCACCATTCCGCAGATAAATCTCTTGGCTCTATGGAGATCAGAGATTGAAATTCAGTGTGATGACCGCAGAGAATCCACAACGAGCACAAGAGAACAACCGATCTGTCTGCCATTCGATTTCGAAATGGCACAATGTTTCAGTTGAGATGTTTTTCTGGAGAAGTGAACAATGCTTCCACCCTCTAAGAGTGAAGCCATAGAGTGTAATGTTCTGATCGCATATCCATCATAAACTGATAATTCATTATTTTCTGGATGAAAAGTAATTCTTTAAACTCCCAGGCGTTAATTTCTAACTTAGCACATTCACTTCATTCAATTAGCCTGTGTGGGGCTATGTCTTCAGGCTGGCTCAAACCGGTCAATTAAAGGGCGGATTAGTTTTAGGTCCCGCGACGATCGCAGAACGCTGTCGTGAAACCAGAACGAGACTGGTCCATGCTAACAGGCATTTGAATGCTTTATGTTAATAATAAGCATTCCGATGAATGGATTTCACTGTACAATTTGAATTATGAAAGTCGAACTTGTTTCAGTCTTACTAAGCATCGACTGTCTTTCTCCAATACTATAGATTGATTATTGTTTCTTACTGCTCATTACCATATATGATTGACTTGGTTAAACAATTTGTTATCAGATTATGGCACCAAAGAAGGGTAGCACTAAACCAGCTATTGAAAAGCAGAAGGATTCCGAGGTGTACAGGTGAAGCTTGACATAAAAATCAGATAAGGTTGTCTTTGTTCTTCAGCGAGACGGCGATTAGAAACAACTTCAGTTCACTGGAATACGCGAGGACATGTCAATCTGCTGCTGCTGGAATAGCTGCAGGTTAGCATCGAACCTCTTCTTTATTCCCAAAAAATGAATTTCAGGCGTTTTGGGGTTGACTAGTTTGCCAGGATTTGTATTTTATTTTTTAACAGTATTGGTTCAGGTTGGTGATATCGTACAAACTATGTTTTATAATAATTGTTTTCAGGGTGCAGTTTGGGAAGCGAAAGCAGGGTTTGATTGGAAAACATATTTCGTAGATAGATCCCTCTCATTGACTCATTCATTGGTTGGAGGTTTATTTACTTACGTTCTCTTCTGGGTATTTCTTTATGGAATGGTGCACGTCTACTGATCATTCGAGTCATCGTAGTTTTAACATAACAAACTTATATTTATTTGAATCATTCCCAGTTCTTCATAAGAACGGTTTTAATAAAATGCTTCATACGATTCTCTGATTTGCTTTTCACACAGTTTTGTCTGCTTTGTATTTCCATCTGAGTTCTGAGCTTTTTCAAATTCGATTTTAGATGAGTAAAAGAGAGCTGGAAAATAAAGTAGAAGAACAACACAAACATATTTTATTTTTAGAAAAGAAACTGAAAGGTGAAGTATCCATAGAAATTCATTACCAACCTTCTTCTAGATGTTGTACGAGCTTACAAAAGCCTAGAGTCCGAAAAGAATGCTTTACAAAACGTAGTGGAGTCTTTCAAAGGTTCCGAGAACGCAGAAGAGTCACCTCATCCTCAAGGAGAAGCAGACGTACTTTTTCACTCGAAATTCAAACATTTCACTTTTACTTGCAGGAAAGTACTTTGAAAGGTTTGAAGGATTCTCTAGCCATTTTGACCAAAGAGAAAATTAGGCGTGAAAATGCTTTGCAGCAAGACAAAAAACTCTTATTAGTTAGTGTTTCTCGCAATCTCATTTGAGACTCTGACTTCAGCAAGAAAATGAAAGCCTGAAAGAAAGGTTGAAGACGGCAGCTGATGATTCAGAAGTGCAAGCAGAGAAGTTAGAGAAAGTTATCAAGGTTTGTAAATTTCTCAAATTGCTAGCAATACTTCACATTGTCCAGGAATTGACTCAAAAAATCAGACGCATCGAAATGGGGCGCGAGAGTGAGCTTACAGACCATGGTAACGTCCTTGCAGAAATGCAACAGAGATATGCAAAGGAAAAAATTTCTGCTGAAAATGCTCAGAAGCAGGTAGTTCAGAAAGTTTTTTTCATTTTTCATCCGCCTACGTAGCTGGTTGAATTATACAAAAAGTTACAAGAGAAAAGCGATCTTCCCACTCAGTTCAAAACGAAAGAGAAAGAATTACAGGTATTTCATTTCCCACGTAGCATTCAGTGGAAAAGTTATTTTTGAAGGATAAAATATCTGAAATGAAGAAGGAGATTGAGGAATGGAAGGCCAAAGCAGAACGTTCTCCTACAGTACAACTGTTACAAGACCAAATGGCTAATATGAAGGTGGGAGAGTCTTCTCTTCAGTTTTAATTTGACTACTGTTCTAGATAGAACTGGAGAAAGAGCTCGAAGAGCGACTGAGTCTAGGCAAAAGCAGTTCCTCGTTGGATAAACAAGTAAACAGTAGAATATGCGAATTAGAAGTAAGTTGGCTTCTCAAAAAACCAACAGCTTCTTCTATCTTAAGGAAGCCACCCAGAGATTGACTGAACGTGTTGCCGAGTGCGAAAGAGAAAAATATGAAGCCTTAGACAAGTTGAAGAAATCAAGTGATGAAAGCAACGAGTTGAAGCTGGTAAAGGAATTGAGTTTTCTGTTTCTATTATGTCTTACAGCTTCTCCAAAAAGCGGAAGAATTCAAACAGCATATAAATGAGGAAGATGCCACAAAACAGTTTGTTATTCTGGGGAATTCACTTCTGAAAGATGGGATAGATATATTTGGTTCGTGCCTGCCGTATAACACTAATTAACATGTCGATCGTATAGATGTCCTAGAACCTAATCCACGGTTCTTAGAAGCTAAGACGAAATTGGAGAGAATAACAGATGAGTACGAGAAATATAAGCTGAAAGCTGAAGCTGTATTGAAGTCGAAGGTAGGTAGATATCGAATTATATAGAAGTGAAAGTTATTACAGACTTCTAATGTGGAGGAGAATGTCGACAACGGTCTGAGGACATTAGTAAGTCAGTTACACGATAAAATAAAAAATCTGGAAGTTGCTCATGCTACTGATCAAGCCCAATACGAACTGGTTGGTTTTTTCGAAAGATATCTCTCAGCTCTGGGTTGTAGACAACACGCAATATGCGAGAACGTATTTCTGAATTGGAGAGAAGTGAAGAAATTTGTAGAAATCAGATGAAGAAAGAAATGCAAGGCAAAAGTATAGCGATTTTCTTCCTTTTTCTACTTTTGTTCTGAATTCTAGTTTCCGAAATGGAAGCTGAAATGCAGAAGCAACGGTCTCGAACTCTCGAGATTCTGGCGGAGAAAGAGCAAGAACTCGAAGCAACGAAGTAATTCATATCTCTCACGAACATCTATAATATATGTCAATTTTCTGGTCTATACTGATTTCTGTACGATCTGAACAACTGAATGTAGCTCCGGCAGACCCAGCACAAGTGTCTAGCAGAAGTTCCAAAAGGAAATCTAGTGAATTCAAAAAGCTGGTGGATCGGAAATACAGCAGCGGTATCGTTTCTGATCTGAATTTGTCATATGGAAGATTTTGATAGGTTCACGGAGAAGTTTGGATGCTATTTCAGTGTCGAGTTTGGATTTATTGGGAACCTCAGGAGGTTGTGTCGTGTTTGCATATTTCATGACGTTTGATTCTATAGATCTCCACGATGTATCACTTCCTCATGTTAATGAAACCAGAAATATTTATTATGAAGACGAGCTTGCGAAGAAAGAGAAGGAGATTCAGGAGATGAGGCAATCGAGGAGATATCAAGTCTAATTTATTTCTTAACTTTGCAGGAATTCATTACATAAATTCGAATATCGTATACGTGAGTTAGAGCAGTCGTCGTTATGCAAAGATCTTGCAAATCATGAACTCCAAGAAAAGTTTAAGGAGCAAATACGGGTCCTAGAGGGTTCGTTCCGAACTCTCGATGATGTGGATTAATTGTTTCTAGGGAGATTGAAACTCATATCAGATGGTGGAGAACTGGAATATCTCCGTAACATTTTCGTACAGTATTTAAGCTGTAATAACAACTCTGGAGCTAAACATATTCTAAAAGCTATTGGAATGGTTTTGAAACTCAGTCCAACTGAAATGAAAGCCATAGATAAAAAAATATTTTAAGAGGTTTTCGTGAATTCCTCTTAATCGTTCAACTTATTTTTCCAGGCATATCACTTAGAGCGGGTGTACCCAGTGCAGGAGCACGGAACGGTTGTAATCTTTATAGGAACTCTTCATATCAACACTACATTGTATAAAAACCTCACTTGCATAATCAGCACGAAAATTTCTATTCACCCTAACTGAATTGTCCATATACTACATAGAAACAGAGCTATTCATTTTTGACATTCTTTACAATGTTCAGGCTGTGATAGCTATCCCGGAGCTTAATTTATTCCATGTTTTATAGAAATGGGTTTGAGACTCAATCCAACTAAAATAAATTCAATACCTCATTAGCTAACTAGTTGATAAGTTTATTTTTTTCACCTTCAGAATAACAAGCCCTGAGAACGAAAAAATACAACAAGTTTCAGAAGATATTGAAAGTTTTGTCGTATTTCGTTCAGGTATGTCTGCATTTCTCTCGAAACGTCAATTGGCAACGCAGATACGGGGGCAGATAATATTATAGTTGCATCAATGCAGTAAGTATCCACATTAATGCGGTCGAATATAGTCATTCAATTAGTTTCAATTATTCAAGACAATATAACATATTTGAAAGAAAACCTCACGGCTACTTAATTTTCGGTTACGGTACACCAAGTCGGCAATAGGCGCGCGGTTTAATGGGCGGAGAACTCCTTGGTGAATATGAATATACGATTGCGCTTTTTCTTATATTAAATTATTCTTTATATTTGAATATGGCATTTCCATTATTGGTGTGATCGAAAGAGTTCTCTTCATCTGATTTGATGACATATTATCTGAAGTAATACGTAATACTTCAGGTAATGGAGCCCTGCAGTTTAGAATCACTTGAACCTACGGACTTTACGAACGAGCCAACTCTTACCATTGATGTTGTGAATGATGCTTACTTCCTATTCAAAGATGAAGGTTCAGTTTTCCACTCGTAGTTATCGTTTAGTAAGAATCTTCAGATGCTTCCAATTTGAGAAACAAGTATAGAATGATTTTTGAGTCAACCACTTCATCTCATTCTGAAGATTCACTGCCGTCTCCGCCTTTCAAATTATTGGACGAACAAGTATTCGTTCTGTTGCAATATGGTAAGTAATTATTTTCAATATGTTGAGCTAAAGTTAGTTATTTTTAGTGACATTTGACTTTAGGATGTGCGGTAGTAAGGCGGTTAAAGGACGATAACTCTTTTGAGCCCGAAATTTTCAGGCCTCCCGAGTTGAAAAAACAGACTTCTGAGGTTTGGTATCTTACCCCCACCATAGTTACTGATTGAATTTAGGAAGAGTACGAAAAAGCTAGAAGAATTGCTATTGGTAGAAAAGCAAAAGAATCAAAACGGAAATTGATCAGTAGCGGAAACGCAAAGACTTTCAAAGTTAGTTCTTAAAGGATGTTCGAGTCCCATAGAGCGCTTATAGGTCAGAGCAAAAGATATGGATGGTATAGAAGTGACTAGAGAAGAAGTTGAAGACGCTCTCAACGTTTTACAATCATCCACCGTTGTTGATGAGAGAATAACACTGTCTTACTGTGAGGATTTTTTGAATTGATCATAATCGAATACTTTTGTTCAGGTCCCGAGTCGATGGATAACTATGAAACGCTAGATCTCTTCTCTTTACCAGTTCCCAGCACATCTGAGTTCAGATTAAAGCGATTGGTTTTTCATGATCTCTGGAGACGAGGTTTCTATATTACCGCAGGGTTACGTTTCGGATGTGATTACCTAGCCTATGAGGGTATGCTCTTTTCTCCAATTTAATTGAATGCTTTGTGTTTCAGGATTACCCGGCGAAGTACATGCAAAGTATTTGGTGAAGTGTCTTCCTAGTGATGAAGACTTGTCCCCGCTGGAGCTAATCAGTCTCACACGTGTAGCAACTCAAGTGAAGAAGGCAGTTCTTCTTGCAATAGTTGCTGATGATAATCATACACCACATTACATGACTCTACAATGGTGGAAAGCTTTCTAATAAATAATAAATTCGAATGAAACAGTTATGAATGAGACGGTTGATGCCAGTGTTTACATAAGATCTGTGATTTGTCTTCTTATATTTTATGTTTTTCTTCAGGATATTCTTGTTCTCATAAACTTAGTAGGATGGTATGATTTCTCTCGTCTGTCAGTTTCCTCAATATTTACTTTCAGCTGTTTTTCTCTTTCTTCAAATCGCTTGTTGGCAAAGATGTTGTAGTTGAACTGAAGAATGATTTGAGGTGACGCAAAGTGCTCTGATATGTGTTTTAATACAACAATTTTTAGTATTTGTGGAACTCTCCATTCAGTTGATCAATATCTGAACATGAAACTCACTGATATAACTGTACCAGATGCAGATCGTTTCCCACATATGATGTCCGTCAAAAATTGTTTCATTCGTGGGTCAGTTGTAAGGTATGTGTGATATGGAATACAGAGTGACAAGTCATTGACATATTCAGATATGTACAACTGCCTGCCGAACAAGTTGATACTCAACTCCTTCAAGATGCTTCTCGCAAAGAAATAGCTCAAAATAGAGCAAAATAGAAAATAATCACCGTCTCCTACTTGTTACCTGTTTATTCCCACATTTCATTTGTATCTCATTTTTTGGCGTGTGTGACTCATTTGCGTGGTCGTTTAATATGAGCTGTGTACTCTTATAAATGTCTTTTATCAGTACAAATTCCTTTCATAGGCAGTTTTTCTGTTAGTCAACTGCGGTTTCGATTTCCACATTATATCTTTTGGTTTTTAGAAATTTTTCAGAAACGTCTTGTGTTAGAGAAGTTCTAGAGTAATTCTAGCGACCCATCGATTAGCCTATGAAAAAAAAGTCTTTGCTAGCATTGATCGTTCTGCCGAATGTGAATGGGCTTTTAAAGAACAAAGCTCCCTAGCTATTTCGAGATCTATTAAGCATCCACTTCTTTTATTCCTTTAACTGAATTCCATTCCACAGAACCTCGATGTTTCTTTTTGTTTAGTCCTTCAAGTTTAGTGAGTAATTGAAGATGGATGCGATGTTCACCTCTCACCTCATCCTAGTTATATGCTTTCTTTTTGCATCTCTCCGTCGTTATATTTCTCAGAGATAGTTTTGTATCTCTTATAAGATAACAGCTGGCCCCGGTCCACCTTCATCATCATCTGCAGTCCTCGAGCCAGTCTCGGCATCTTGGTTAGCCATAGCCAGTTGTTTGCTGGAGGTTGTCCCTCGAAGAAGAAAGATGAGGAAAGAAGAGTGAGGAGACTCATCATCGCATATGTGGCCGTGGTTTTGCGGCTGTGGCTGCCCTTGTGTCCGTTTATTGATTTCTGTTCTCTGTTTGTCTGCCTCCGCTCCCCTCCCCTCCTCTCCGATGCTCTCTTTCCGTTTGGCCTGACGCCTGCAGTTAGAGGCTGGCCTTCTCTAGTTCTCTTTTAGTATATACGACTCTCTTTTCGTTCGATCTGTCTCTTTTCCCTGTATGTGTGTACATTTTGTTGATTCAGATATATCAATAGCTTTATTTCCGTGGAACTTCGGTTTGTACGTCTGATTCGTTGTTGTATTGATCAACCTTCAGTTGAAGTTGTCGCATCCTCACCGGTTGTTATTGTGTTTATGATTGTTTAATGAAAATCACAACCGACAGTTAGTACATTTCAATCGTTCTTTCATAAACTAACTGAGTTCAATAAATTCCTCTCATATTTATCATATTTCTGTTTCTTTGATCTCTATCAGATTTATATGGTTCAGGACCTAACCTATATTTCTTTTTCTCTTTTCATCATGTCAATGTCCTCGCTGGGCATTGGCGTCGTCTTAACCACGATCAATATTCCATAATCACTCACTCACTATGTTCCCGGAAATCACAATGTTTTTTTTTATACCTACGTATTGATTATTTTTTGAATTTACGCAAATTTACACGCCGCCCGTGAGAATCGTTCATTTTAAAATTGTTTGTGAGTATGCGCGGCTGTGTTTCGTTCGTTCTTCAATGTTTTCTCTTTTGATTTCATTCATTTATAATCTTCCAGCTAGTGCCCCGATCTCATAATGTCAACCGATGAAGGTTTACCACCAGAGCCTGTAATGGAGATTCCACCTCCACAGGAGATTAGAGTTCTTGAGACAGCAGATGATATTCAGGTTTGTAAACTTTCCATATTTTTTATGTTCACATTCTCTTCTCTCAATGTATCAATAACTCTTTAGCATCGCCGTCAAGAAGTCTTGGGGCACTATACACAGTTCAAAGACTTTGCCAAATCTAAAAGAGATAAGCTCGAAGAAGCTCGACAGTTCCAATACTTCAAGAGGTTTATTATTAGAGAAGCTCAGTCAGCTAAAAAATTCCTTATAGAGATGCCGACGAACTTGAAGTTTGGATTATTGAAAAGCTTCAGACAGCTCAGGAAGAATCATATAAAGATACCACCAACTTGCAGGTATGTCATTTGATAACATCTGTTTCAAAATCATGAAGCATGTGAACTCAGACCCGTGCTAGGTTTTTTGTTGATGTCTTATTTACTTAACCCTCACGTTCTGACTAAATGTGAAGAGAAGTGTTGATTTAAGTCGCAAAGTCATTTGTCGTTAGAGAAACTCACATCAGTGTTGTGATTGTCTTTTCGATTCGACTAGGAGTAATGCGATTCTGTGCATTTTCATTTTCCCAAATTAGTTTCTTTGATTAAGTAATGCACCTTTGACTAGACTGTCACTTGTGTTTCGCATTAATATTGATTGCGATTTAAGCTTTTATTCGCTGGCTGACGTCATCTTTCAATGTTCATATTTGACAGTCATAGTGAAGAAGTTTGCATTTTGCTCTGTCCAAGCATAGCTCTAATCCTTATATGGCCGTTTAAACAAAAATGAGAAGTTGTGCCAGTGGAGAGTTGCAGTTCCGCATCGATCTGGGAGAGAGCTGTCGTTTTTATTCTGCTCTAGACCCAGATGGTCCGTTGGGAATTGAATTCGACCACAATGAATTGCTAGTGCTGGATTAGTTCAATGCATTGCGCATAGTTTTACCAGCTGGGATTTCGGATTTGAGATTTGTAGAAATGACATCGAACTAGAACGGTCTACAGGAACATATATATATATATATATATATATAATTATAGTTGAATGTATGCCAGTCAAGATAGTTTCGTATTCCTATTATGATGATAACATCTGAAAAATAGATTGACGACGTTCTCGCCGCAGTTTGTAGATTATACTACTTAATAATAAATAGGAGAGCTTTGTTGAAATGATTTGAGTAATCAAAGTATTGTTGATAAGAAGTGTGGAAATAGTCTTATCTATACTGCCTAAATCAAGAAGTCACCTCCTTTGTCGGAACTCCTTTCGTAATGAAATTCATTTTTTATATCCGGATGTGTTCGTCTAGCGATGATTAATTAATGATCTCACTTCGACATTTTTTTCGCTAGACAATGAACTGACTATTCGGATGTTCGCGAGCTTTGTGGGTTTACAACAAAGTGAAAGAAGAGAAGTGTTATGGCCTCCTAGATTAGACTGAACACAATTCAAGAATAACTGTTCGGGGTGTAAATCGAAACTGAGTTCTCTAAACATTAGTCCCGTCTCTATAGATTCGTCTTCGTGTCACGCGAAGATTCTCATTTTACGAAAACAGTTTGTTTTATTTGTTTCCGCTGATGTGTACTGTCAAGTAATTTTAGTCACTTGGTTAACGTTGTACTATCAGATCACAACTTTTATAACGTACCAGTTATAGTTAGATAGACCAATTATACCCTTGACCCATATGATACTCATCAGAGTGTCGGCGACCACTGTTGCTCCGGATTATGTCAAAATTTGACTATCTTGGATATCGAATGATCGAGAGAGAAAGAGAAAAAGATATGTGTTCATGTTAGAGTGATGAGATGAATTCTTTCTGACAGTTCGTTCATGAATGGATTTCTGATATAGTCGAGGTTATTTGTTGTAATGAGGGGTCAACAATGTCTATAATTTTTATGAAAACAGACAGAGCTGGATTTGGTGTTTTTTGTTGATCTGAGGCTGTCTAAAATCTTTGTTCCAATTGAGACGTTGCTTCTCAAGTCAATATGTGTACATACTCTCGAGATTCCTGTCAGATTGTCTATTAATGGCTGTCCTTCCTTCGTAGCCCCAAGAAAGGGATATGACAATAACTTAACTGAATATATCAATGGAAGACTCACAGAACGGTTGATTTTTTTCAGGCAAAGATACAAAAACATGAAGCGTTTGAAGCAGAAGTTCAAGCTCATTCCAAAGCCATCACTGTTCTCGAAAGAACTGGACATCAAATGATTCAGCATGGTCATTATGCCAGCGATATTATTAAGGTTTGTTTAAGACTTGCGGTATTATCAGTTATAATGTTGTTCAGAGCCGACTTGAAGAGCTCCGGGCTTTATGGGATAAACTTTTCTTCAAACTGCGCGATAAGGGCGTAAAATTACAACAAGCTCTTAAGCTTTTGCAATACATTAGACAGTGCGATGAAGTTTTGTACTGGATTCGCGACAAGGAAACCTATGTTACTGCCGACGACATGGGAATGGACTTGGAGCATGTTGAAGTATTACAAAGAAAGTTCGAAGATTTCCTGAAAGAACTTGGAAACCATCAGTACAGGTAATTCACAAATGTTAGTTTGCTTGGAGAATATCAATTTAAGAATTAATGAAATCAACCATGGTGCCGACAAATTGGTTGAAGAAGGACATACTGAACACGAACAAATTTACAAGGTTTGCATTAGTTTGTCTTATATGTAATGTATTTCTATTGTTAGAAACGTGATGAAGTTAACGAGGCTTGGCATCGTTTGAATACATTAGCAGCCACGAGAAAGGAAGGTCTGTTCGGAGCACACCAAGTTCAACGATTTAATCGTGATGGAGATGAAACATTAGCATGGATTGCTGAAAAGGTTGTGTTCATCATGAATTTCGATTGTTTTAATATGCGGATTCATTCAGGATGCTGCTCTTTCCAGCGGTGACTATGGTCGCGATCTTAATAACGTTCAGGCTTTACAAAGAAAGCACGAGGGAACCGAAAGAGACCTCGCTGCTCTTGAAGGAAAAATGCAACAATTGGAGAAGGTTAGAAATGATATCCTTATATTACTCTTACAACAATTTTTCTCTAGGAGGCCGTTCGTTTGGCTGAAACTCATCCTGACAGATCGGATGCAATTGCTGCCAAGATGTCCGAAGCCAAGAACCAATGGGATGCCTTGAAGAGAAAGGCCCAGGCTAGAAAGGAAGCCTTGGACCGTAGTTATCAACTGCATAGATTCCTTGCTGACTACCGTGACTTATGTAGCTGGATGAGTGACATGAAGGCTGTCATTTCCGCCGATGAACTAGCTAAGGATGTTGCTGGTGCTGAAGCTCTTTTGGAGATTCATCAAGAGCATAAGGGAGAAATTGATGCCCGTGAAGACAGTTTCAATCAAACCGCTGCCTCTGGACAACAATTACTCGATATTGGAGTACCTGAGAGCGACGATGTCAGACAAAAGCTCGAGCATCTTGCTCAAGAAAAAGCCAGTCTTCTGGCTTTGTGGGAAGAACGCAGAATTCTCTATGAGCAATGTATGGATCTTCAACTCTTCTACAGAGACACCGAGCAAGCTGAGACATGGATGAACAAACAGGTAAGTCACCCATCTTCTGTAATTATCTTATAAAATGATTGTAGGAAGCATTCTTGAACAATGACGACCTCGGAGACTCAATGGACGCTGTTGAGTCTCTCATCAAGAAGCACGAAGATTTCGAAAAATCTTTAGCTGCTCAGGAGGAGAAGATTAATGCTCTCGATGAGTTTGCTACCAAACTGATCCAGGTCAGTTGTCTTGTTTTGGATTTAGTTTATGTGTGATTGTTACAGGGTCAACATTATGCTGCTGAAGATGTTGGACGACGTCGCCAAGCTCTTCTTGATAGAAGACGCCGTCTCCTTGATAAGGCTTCTGAGCGAGCTGCTAACCTTCAAGACAGTTACAAACGACAGACTTTCGATCGTGACTGTGATGAGATGGTCAGCTGGATCACTGAGAAACTCAAAACTGCCACTGACGATTCTTATTTGGATCCTACAAACATCCGTGGAAAACTCCAGAAGCATAACAACTTTGAACAAGAGCTTCGTGCCAACAGAAATCGTCTTGATGACATAAATGCTACAGGAGAGCAAATAATCCAAGGAGGCCATATTGCTGCTGACCACGTATGTTTTCAAATTCCAATCAGATAAACTTTTTTTTTCTCAGGTCCGTTCTCGTCTGAATGAGGTCGACAGTTTGTGGAACGAACTAGTTGATGCTGCTAACAAGAAGGGAGCTAAGCTTCGTGAAGCTGGCGATGAACAACAGTTCAATAGGAATATTGAGGATGTTGAGTTATGGTTGAGCGAACTTGAAGGCCAGGTTTGTTGCATTCATAGTGTTTCGACTTATCCGCATTTTTTTCCAGGTTGCATCTGAAGATTACGGAAAAGATCTCGTGTCTGTTCAAAACCTCCAAAAGAAGATTTCTCTTCTGGAGAGTGATTACCTTGCTCACAATGATCGCATTGACGGCATCAAGAATTTGGCCAACAAATTCCAAGATGAAGACCATTTCAACGCTCCAGTTATTGTTCGCAAGCAAGAGGCTTTGAATAGTCGATTCAGCGTAAGTATCAGAATCTCATTCCTTTTACAGTTGCCTTTACAGAATTTACGTACACCTCTCGAGAAAAGAAAGCAGAAACTTGGAGAAAGTCTTCAAGGAAACCAACTCTTCCGTGATATTGAAGATGAACTTGCCTGGATTCGTGAGAAAGAACAGATTGCTGCTTCTACTAACCGAGGACGTGATTTGATCGGAGTTCAAAACCTGATCAAGAAACAACAAGCTCTGATTGCTGAAATTGCCAACCATGAAAGCCAAATTGACTCTGTCACAAAGGCTGCTGAGGATATGATCCAACAGGCATGTTATAAAACTTCTTTTTCTTTCATTTTTCGGATATTTTTCAGGGTCACTTCCTTGCTCCTGAGATCCGTGATAAATTGGCTCAATTGCGCGATAACTGGAGGATTCTCAAGACCAAGGCTGAAAAGAGACGCGCGGAATTAGACGACTCATTGCAGGTCAGTATATGTACAACGGTTGTACATTGGTAACGCACCTAGTCATGGGCGAAGGGTCAAGGGTTCGATTCCTGCCCATGGTTAATAGTATCTATGATGCCTGACCTTGTCAGTTCTGCTACTGCAATGAATATTGAAGACATCATACCCACACTGAGATACTCTTTAACTATTTTGTGAAAGGAGCCTGGATCAAGCCCAGAGGCTATTAATTTTGCATAAATAGTTCCTTTTTACAATAATTTTGTTTACAGGCTCATCAATACTTGGCTGATGGTAACGAGGCTGAAGCCTGGATGGCCGAGAAAGAGCCAATTCTTGGATCTTTGGATTATGGAAAAGATGAAGATTCTGCTGAGGCTCTTCTTAAGAAGCATAGAGCTATGCTGTCCGACTTGGAAGCTTTCCGTGGAACTATCGATGATCTTCGCAAGCAAGCTGCTCAATGCAAGTACCAAGAACAGCCTGTGGGCCAACTTGGACGTGACTGTGTTCTCGCTCTTTATGATTACCTGGAGAAATCTCCACGTGAGGTTTCCATGAAGAAGGGAGATGTTCTTACTCTTCTGAATGCTTCTAACAAGGATTGGTGGAAGGTAGAGGTCAATGATCGCCAAGGATTCGTTCCAGCTGCCTACGTTAAACGTATTGAACCTGGTACGGCTCAACAGCACAGCCATCAACAGGTAAGAACTGAATTTGTTGTTCCGGAAATATATTTTTGTTCAGGTTAATTCCATCGGTGGCAAACAGAATGAAATCGAAGATAAATATCAACGTCTTATCATGCTCGGAGAGGCTCGCAAGAGAAAGCTCGAGGAAGCTTGCAAGGGATACCAATTGCTCCGTGAAGCTAATGATTTGGCTGAATGGATCAAGAGCCGAGTATGTTTTGTTTTTGATTCTCCTGAATACTCTCAAACTCCTCAAAATCCCATTTTATAACTGTTTTTACTTTCAGACCATTATGGCTCAGGTAAGTACATATTAAATACTTTTGATTTTTGTGCAATGGTGAAAATGTGAAACAGTAATCTATAAAAGTCCTGCTTAATTGTGAAAAATATGCTATCGCTACTCCGATTTTCCTTAAATGTGTTTTCATCTGTCTTTTTCAGGAAGCTGTCGCTGCTCAACAAGAAATTGGAACCGATCTTGAGCAAGTGGAGGTCCTCCAGAAGAAGTTCGATGACTTCAAGGGTGACCTTAAGGCCAATGAAGTCCGTCTCCAAGAGATGAACCAAATTGGTAAGTCAAATCAGTTTTGTGTTTTTATAATGTCACTGTTTCAGCTACTGCTTTGACTTCTGTTGGACAAACCGAAACTGCTGTGCGTATTCGTCAACAAATCGAAGACCTCAACGCAAGGTATTGTTGAAACACATATCATGTAGACCATCACCAATGTTACAGATGGCGTGCCCTCGAAGAGCAAACCGAACAAAGAGAACAACAGCTCGGCTCTGCTCATGAAGTTCAACGCTTCCACCGTGATGTTGATGAAACTCGCGATTGGATTCAAGAAAAAGATGATGCTCTTGATTCTGATGACTATGGACGTGATCTCCGATCAGTTCAAGCTCTCCAAAGAAAGCATGAGGGAGTTGAACGTGATTTGGCTGCTCTCGGCGACAAGATCAAGTCGTTGGACGAGAAGGCTAGCAAGTTGAGACTGAGTCACCCAGAAGCTGCTGAGCAAATCTATGATCTTCAACGTGAACTTAATGATCAATGGAACAGGTTAGTTGTTACAGTACTTATTTTTCTTATCTGAATTTTGTAGACTCACAGCCAAGGCTAACAACAGGAAGGAGAAACTGTTGGATTCATATGATTATCAACGCTTCCTTTCCGATTACCGCGATCTTCAGCAATGGATTGCTGCTATGAGTCAGCTCGTCAGCAGCCAGGAGCTTGCCAATGATGTGACTGGTGCTGAAGCTTTGTTAGAACGTCACCAAGAGTACAGAACTGAAATTGACTCTCGATCTGCTACTTTCCACGCTTTCGAACAATTCGGAAATCAGCTCTTGAACAACAAGCATTATGCCAGCGAAGATATTGCAAAACGTTTGGCTGGAGTGAACTCAGCTCGTAAGGGATTAGAAGATGCCTGGGTTGCTAGACGCACTGTGCTTGATGAATGCCTCGAGCTTCAACTCTTCTACAGAGATTGCGAACAAGCTGATACCTGGATGTCAGCTCGTGAAGCTTTCCTTGCACAAGAAGACCCAACTGGAGATAACGTTGAATCACTCATTAAGAAACACGAAGATTTCGACAAGGCTATCAACAGTCAGCAAGAGAAGATCGGAGCTTTACAACAGTTCGCTAATCAACTCATCAACAGCAACCATTACGACAAGAGTGCTGTGGCTAACAAGATCAACCAGATTTTGGATAGATGGGAGCGCCTGAAGTCAGCCCTTATTGAAAAGAGAAGCAAGTTGGGAGAAAGTCAAACTCTCCAACAATTCAGTCGTGATGCAGATGAGATCGAAAACTGGATCGCAGAGAAATTCCAGGTAGAATTCATATTTTTTTTATATTTCTATAATGCAATTGTAGATTGCTCAAGAAGAGAACTATCGCGACCCCACGAACATCCAGCAAAAGCACCAGAAGCAACAAGCTTTCCAAGCCGAACTTCAGGCTAATGCTGATCGTATTGCTACCATCATAACCGGTATGAACTCTTTACTTGTTATTTTTTCACCTCATATTTTCAGCTGGACAAAACTTGATCGACAGTGCTAAGTGTGCTGGAGGTGAAGAAGCAGTTAGTGCTCGTCTGAAAGCTCTCAACGATCAATGGGAACTCCTCGTCAAAACCACCAACGAGAAGAGTTACAGGTACTCATCGTTTCATGTAATCCTCTCATAAAAAAAGTTCAGACTCAAGGAAGCTAATAAGCAGAAGAGCTTCATGGCTGCCGTTAAAGATTTGGAGTTCTGGTTGGGCGAAGTTGAAATCCTCCTCCAATCTGAAGACTTCGGAAAGGTAACGCTTGCAGAGAGTTCATGTTCTCAATGTTTTCCTTCAGGATCTGGCTTCTATTGAAAACCTTCTGAAGAAGCATCAACTTCTCGAAGCTGATATTTCTGCTCATCAAGACCGTGTCAGCGAAATGAACAACCAAGCTGACTCTCTTCTTGAGAATGATCAATTTGCTGGACTCCAAATTGCTGAAAGAAGAAAGGCTATCATGGACCGTTACGATCGTGTCAAGGAATCTGCCAAAGATCGTCGTGACAAACTTCATAAAGCTCTCAACGTTCATCAATTCTTCCGTGATATTGATGACGAAGAATCCTGGATTAAGGAGAAGAAGCTACTCGTATCATCTGATGATTATGGACGTGATCTTCCCGGAGTTCAAAACCTCCGTCGCAAACATCGTCGTCTTGACACTGAGTTGGCTAGCCACGAACCTCAAGTCACTTTAGTCCGTCAGAAGGGAGAAGAACTGATTAGATCCGCTGAAGCTGCTGGTATTGGAAAAGATGAAATCGAAAGAAGAATGACTGAACTCGAAAAGAGCTGGGGACAGATTCGTGATCTTACTGGAAATCGTCACCAGAAATTGAACGAATCTGAGGACTTCCAAGAGTTCTTAGGAAAGGTCGAAGAAGAAGAGGCTTGGATGAATGAGAAACAACAAATTCTCGGATCTGACAACTTCGGTGATAACATGGCTGCTGTTCAAGGCCTCCTGAAGAAGCACGATACTTTCGAAGTAGATCTTCAGCTCCATCAACAACGTGTCGCTGATCTTATCGGTCATGGACAGAAGGTATTTTTTTGGGTGTATATGAATATGTATAACATCACTTTCAGTTGATCGAATCCGGAAATCATCATGCTCCTCATATTAAGGCTAGATGCGAACAGCTCGTCAGCCGTCTTCGTGACATTGAATCCATGGCCGATCGCCGCCTTAGCAAGCTTAAAGACAGCTCTGCTTACCTCCAATTCATGTGGAAGTGCGATGTTGTTGAAAGCTGGATCGCAGAGAAGGAACAACAAGTTCGATCTGATGATTTTGGACGCGATTTGTCATCTGTCCAAATACTTCTTAACAAGCAAGAAGCTTTCGATGCTGGATTAAATGCTTTTGAGCATGAAGGAATCCAAAGGTATGTTAAACCATCGGAATGCAGTATATAATTTTTACTTGCAGAATAACTGAATTGAAAGACCAACTTGTCAATAGTCAACATCTCCAGGCTCCAGCCATTCAGAAGCGTCATTCTAATGTTATCACTAGATGGCAGAATCTGTTGGCCAACTCTGAAGGCCGAAGACAGAAATTGCTTAAGATGCAAGAACAATACAAACAAATCGAGGTATCCTTCACCTATCTTTTCGTAACTTATCGTTCATTTTACAGGAATTATATTTGGCTTTCGCCAAGAAGGCTTCCACTTTCAACTCCTGGTTTGAGAACGCTGAGGAAGATTTGACAGATCCTGTCAGATGTAACTCCCTTGAAGAAATCCGCGCTCTCCGTGAAGCTCATGCTGAATTCCAACGTTCTCTTTCTTCGGCAGAAGAGGACTTCCGACAGCTTCAAGCTCTCGATCGCCAGATCAAGTCTTTCAATGTGGGACCAAACCCCTACACCTGGTTTACAATGGACGCCCTCGAAGATACTTGGAGAAATCTTCAGAAGATTATCAAGGAACGGGAAATCGAATTGCAGAAGGAAAATGGCCGTCAAGAAGACAACGATCGCTTACGAAGAGAATTCGCCAAGCTGGCCAATCATTTCCATCAATGGCTTACCACTACCCGTCAAGATATGATGGAAGCGAGTGGATCCTTAGAAGAACAATTAGAAGTATTGAAGCGACGAGCACAAGACATTAGGCATAACAAGACTCAATTGAGAAGAATCGATGAACAAGGAGCTATGCTCGAAAGAAATCTCATTCTTGATAATAGGTAAGACAGCTTCAATTCAAACCGCAATCTATCTGAGTATTCCAGGTACACAGAGCATTCAACCGTTGGATTAGCACAAGCTTGGGATCAACTCGATCAGTTAGCTATGCGAATGCAACACAACTTGGAACAACAGATACAAGCCCGTAATCAATCTGGTGTTACCGAAGAAGCCCTCAGAGAATTCTCCATGATGTTCAAACACTTTGATAAGGTACTGTTGTTGACAGAGCTATACGCATTG